TATTGTCCCCTAAAGACATAAGCAAAGGACAAGGTCAGAGCAGTCAGTTGTAGTCCTTATTAGTGGCTCTGATAAGAGGCTTTAGGGGAAGAGGTTGAAACTAATGGCTGTAATGAAATTTTGGGTTCTGTAAGGATTTCATTTGTCTGTGCTATCAGTTCCGCCGTGAAATGCATATCTATTTTTGTGTTTTTTCATGGGATTTGAGTATCATAACAGCTATTACTGAAGGCTTCTCATTTTCTTAAATTAGATAGAAAAGTCTGAAACTCTTAGAGAACATAAAAACATGGTGAACAAAGGTCACAGCTTCAAATGTAGAATAAGGCAGTCATTTGGATAACAGAAAAACAATACTAGATACCATAAACTGTAGTTTTAATTTGTATTTACATAGACGGACTTTTTGCCCTCCCTCAATCCAGTAAAAAGTTTTAAAATATTATTTTTTTTATCATAGGGCATACTGTAATTTAGAGTTTTAGAAACCCTTACAAATTCATAAATAAAAGACACATCAAACATTAGTTTTCATTTGTAGAAGTTGCAGATTGAAGTTTTACACAATTTCTCCGGAAACAGTGGCATTTCTTAAATTTAAAGTGTTTAATAAAACAAAACAACACAAAAGACCAAAAAAAAACAACTTTTCTTGGTAGTCGTCAGTCTCGCAATGATTCTTAAATATATGTTAACTAGTTTTAGATGTATTTTGTTTGCTGACTCAAAACCAGCCCTTTATTTTAAAAAAAGAAATTGTGTAATTAGTACTTAATTGCTTTGGATATTTCGGGCATTTATAGGAAAGGGTAACTCAAAGGCCAAAGAAATTAAACTTTCACAATGTTCTTTAGACATGTATAATTTCTTTTTTAAAAATAGATGCTAGGGCTGGGATTTAGCTCAGTGGTTCCGCTGCCTGCCTCGCAAGCACAAGAACCAGAGTTCGATCCCTGGTACCAAAGGGAAAAAAACAAACAAACAAACAAAAAAACACCTAGAAATAAAGGCTCAGACTCAGGTTGTTTTTATACATTTGAAATAATAATAATTAATTTAAAATATTTTTTAAAATTAGCATCCACTTTATCTGTAAATACAGTGTTATCGATATTTTTAGAGTTATCGTGGAGAGAATACCACTCAAGTGCTAGAAATCAAGAGGTGGTCATGCTCCTCTCCTCTTCTGGGTGATGTGGTCTAAGTAATACAGACAGACAGACAGCTGCTGATCCCACAGGAAGGAAGAGAGGACTCACCCAAATGTCACACGTCACAAAGATTACACAAGATAAAATTTAAATAGTTGCCTTAACTAGTAGTTGAATACAGTCTACCCAGACAAAGTAGAATTTGGTTGACATGATGACTTGAGCTTCTGTCCTGCGTGGTTACCTGCGAGATCCTGGTCTTGGTGGATAACTTCACTTCTCTAGGCCACATTTATTATGTATAAAATTGAAATGTTGGGTTAGTGTTCCCTAAGACTTTACTAGTTCAGAATTACCCTCCATCTGAAGCTTTATATTGTGTGGATCAGAGGCTAACAAATATGCTTTATGTTGGTAATGAGCACTTGAACTATGATGTTAATAAGGTTAGTAATTATGAACTATTTGGGGTTCTTAAATATACACCATAAGCCAGCAGAGCCTGACTTCATGTCTGCTGTATTCACTGAGTAAGATAGGTATATAGGACTTGGAAATTGATTTTTTGTGGGGAAAGTATACTCAATGTAACTATCCATATTATTGCCCCCTCCAGCTAATAATATTCTTGCTTTTTTTCTGAATCTTGACCTTTTTTCTTTAAAAAACTGAACAGATGACTTAAACATTTAGTTTTTACTTGGGGAATTGAGACAATATTAAGTGACCATACTTGGCTCATGTATCTGAAAAGTATTGTAAGAACTTGTATGTAATAATACATGCTTCTCAAGGAAAATATAAAATACAGGACTGTCTGTAGAATATAAAAATTTGAACAGGTTAGTTACTCTAGACCTCCCCAGAAGTAGCACCAAGCAGAAATTGCATTTGAGTGAGAATTCCACCCAAACTATAAAGAGTGGATAAGGCCAGTGTTATTAGAATAACAGTGGTAAAAGATAAAAGGAGGAAATTTTCTCATCAGCGTTAAAGAAAGGATGCAGTCTCTTCCTTTACAATTGGGATGAACCTTAGCTTCAAACATTTAGGACCAAAGGTAAAAAAATGACAGCAGAAATTACCAAGTAAAACCTTGAACTTTGGGCCAAGTTTAGTGCCTCTATGCTTTTGTTTATGCACGAGGAGTTAAATCATGAAGGAAAAGTATTGCCAGCCTGGATAGGCTTTGTAGACAACATGCATATTCTTTAAAATGCACTTATGTTTTATTCATTTTTCCTTTTCAAGCATTAAATGTATGTGTAGCTAATGCTGCTGGTGAAACTGGGGCAGATGGAATCTTAAAAATGAGAAGGACAACTCCTGTCCTCTGAGCAGCAGTGTGAGGCCCAAGTACATCAATACAAGGGAGCCCAGAAAGAATGAGGTAGGACGGAAGTAGTATGGGCTGATGACAACCTAAAGATCCCGAAGTTAGAACCCTGATGTGTCAACCAAAATCTACACCTATTAACAATATTTTAGATAAAGAAGTCTTTCAGTATCTGCGGGCCAAGAAAGAATCATAATGCAAAGGGCAAGAAATTAGGCCAGATGGGTGGAGCTGACCTTCAGTCCCCCAAAGGGGTAACCAATGATAGGAACGTCTCCTGCGACCTAGAAGGTGAAGAATACCAGTGGGTCTTCAGTGGTGTGGTGTTTCCCATCCCTGTACTGCTCTTTCCTCTGAGCTTCACCAAGTTTTTCCCTCTTCCTTTCTTAGGAAATCTAGGATGAAAGAAGCAATGTAAAGGTTGAAACAGGGGAGTTAAGGCAGAGATAGCTGAGTAAATAAAGGAACCTTTCAGGTGTTTGGAATAAACCTCTTATAAAAATAGAAAGCTAATTTCACTGATGATGATACAGATTTCTAGATGCTATTTGTGTGTGTGTGTGTGTGTGTGTGTGTGTGCAGTTACTTATGGATGAACTTAATAATGAATGAAAGAGCAGAGTTAAAGTGGGGGGAGAGAGAGAGAAGTGGGGGGAATGGGAATAAAACAATACACCTATGATATTTTCACATTCTCCACAAAAAGATGCAAAAATTCCCTAGCCTCATTTGATGTTTTATGTTCAGGTTTTGGGGTTTGGGTTTTAAATTCTCACATTAAGGAAGTCATGCAGTTTAAATGATAAGTATTATATTAGTAATTTTAGTGCCACGAACAGGAGTGTGCATGTGCTTTTAAAGGAATTTCTATGGTGTGCAGTTGGGTTGCTTGGTGACCTTTGAAATTTTGTTTGGAGCTGCTGTCAGAAACATAACCATTTTTCTTTCTGAAACAAATTTTAACATCTGCAAAGGTTGACCAAGCTAGGATAGTTTTAATAAAATATTAATCTGTCTTTTTTAATGTCAACCCAGCTTTTAAGACTGTTCATCACCTATCTAAAACATCAGCTCAAGGCACTGGAGTTGATTTTATAAAATGCCTTTCCCATTAAACATTCTCATTGTAGTCAGAGTACAGTTAAATGACAGAAATTTTTCCAGTCTTATTTTCCATAACCCAGTTTCCAAATTCTCTTGTTTTTAAATTAACAGTAATTTGTATCACATAATTTCAGGTTAACTTAAAAGTTTTTCATTCTCAAGGAGGGAAGATGGTTCCAAATTCTGGCCCCCATCCATTAAAATCTGGATAGCCTAATGATCCTGAATTTTATAAAAATTGGACTTATCTATTTTAAATATATATCTTGTCATTAAAAGGTTTATTTACATTTAAAATGCTGACCTTTCAAGATGTACACAAGAGTGTTCTCAGAGTTTCCGAACCTTGGCCGTGAAACCACTGTCTTGGGCTGACAAATGGATTGGAAATAAGCTCCCCAGCACTGGGAATGGGCCATTAATTTCAATCAAAGGTGATGCAAGGAGGCGAATGGGATGCATGGCAATGTCAACAGCCCAGTAGGTGTTAAGAGACCACACAGCCTTCCTTGTTACTTAGTTGGGCCATTAGTTGAGGTTGGGTGAAGACAGAAAGCCATGTCTGGAATTGAATGACCAGGTCACTCCAAAATCTAATGGAGAATTCCCCATTTCAGAAATCACATTGTAATGCCATTAGAAGTCAAGGACAGCATTTAGAAAACATTGGGTTTTTTGCTTTTTCTTGTTTTTTTAATTAAGCACCTTGATAGTTTTTTCCAACTTTGTTGGGCTTCCTGTTTTCCTGCTTCTTTACCTTCTAAGTGGATCATGGATATTTACAGAGGATCAAGAAATCAAACAGACTAAGGAAAAAATTTCAAAGCCCGTGTGCTTTTCAGAATTACATTGTAGTTTAAAGTCCTAGTAAATGCTAGGAAACAGTAGTGAAGCATAGGAGTGAAGCGGGATAATTAATTCTTTGTGGTGATTTCATTGTCCTTGTCCTTTTCACGTATGTAGCGATAGTTCTAATTGAAACTAAACTTTCTTATTGCTTTAATGCAAGCATTTGTTTCAGAATTGTAAAGGTCACTATGCTTGTGCTTTACATTGTCAACATGGGCTGATAACATTAGTGATATTCGTGGCAATGAAATCCTTTTATTTTAATCAGTAAGTGTATTTCTTTGAATATTTTCAGTTACAAAAAAGATAGCATATGACAGCTTGAATTAATGATGTTTATAATAAAGACATAAAAATGCAAAAGGGACAAAGAAGCATTTTTTTATCTGCTTCAGGTTTGTTAAGAAAATTCATTTATTCTGACACAGCATTGAATGCATAAGAAAGATATGTATGACTGCATTAGTAATTTTTACACATATTTAAGAAAGAAAAGCAATTATATTGCTGTCTTGTTAATGGAATGCTGTTACAAGTAATAGTATTTGTTCTTTCTGTAGATGAAGATCAGCTCCGTGCAAAGGGTTATGACAAAACACCAGATTTTATTTTACAAGTACCAGTTGGTAAGTTCTTAAGCTCTGTTATTCATTTGTTTATAGAGAATGAGATAAGATTTTTCCATTCCTTTTAAAATATGTTAATATTAAATAAGTTACCAAAGTATATTAGCTTTATATCTAATACCCACTAAAGTTTAATATATTGTTTCTAAATGGGTGAGATAGTTGGAAAATATTATTGTAAGATACCAGAAAATAATAGATTCAGAAGAAATCTATGCCTTAAAAAGTTTTACATGTATTTGAGAAATGAGTATGCCTCCTGAAGACATTTCAGCTGCCATTTTCAACTCATTTCTCTAAGTTGTGAATTTTTATAACGGCTCTATGGAATAGATAGGCTTACTTTGGTCTGCTTAACATTTCCCTCGTCAAGTTACAGAATCACAGTCTCAGAATTAGGGAAAGGACTTTTGAAGAATGTGATGGAAACAAAACGGATGTGACTGTAGCATAAATGTTCTTTGTGATGAACATGTGGCATGCACTGTTTTATAATTACGTCCAGAGGTGATGGTAAGGGCCAAACCCTCTGCTCATCAGTGTGAATCGTGGAGAGGCCTGTGCAGAGTTCAGAATTTTCAATCTTCCTTCTTTTCGCTGTATATTAGTAATGCTTTGTCCCTTAGCTGTAGAAGGGCACATAATTCACTGGATTGAAAGCAAAGCCTCATTTGGTGATGAATGTAGCCACCACTCCTACCTGCATGACCAGTTCTGGAGCTACTGGAATAGGTAAGTCCCATTATTTTTCTCTCAAGATAAACGATACTCAGCTGAAATCTCATTAGAAGAAATATTTTGTTTAGCTGGTAAAAATTCTCATAGCCTTTTTTTGTAATAAAGATAGTCTTGATTAATGTATTAATTTCAGATAATTTAAACTTCTCTGCTTTCATAATGTTGCTTCATTTTTTAAAAGTAAAAATCTGTGTATAAGGTCAAAGTTAGTATATACTCTCATATTTTACATTGATAATATTGGTGCACTTAAAATATGGATAACAAGATTTGATGTATATTATAAAAACTGAATTTTTATCCTTTTGATGTGAAATTTTTGTTTACGGCCAGACCATACAAATAATTATTTCAACTGAGGAAAATATCCATATAATTTGAAAGATGAAAATGATTTAGCTTACCTCAATGGGAAACAGTTTCCAAAGAGATAAGGCTCTCAGCCATTATGAAAGGGGTAAGGGCACCCAGACCGGAGATTATTTTGGTTAATCCTCACAAGGAACTTACTATTATCCCCATTTTGTAGGTAACTACACTGATACTCAATGAGAGAATATAATGTAGGATTCAGCTAGTTACCGTGGGCCTGCGTTTCTCTGACTCATTCCCATACCTGTGTTCTTTCTAGCTCAATATTGTTGTCATCTGTAATACAACTGTTGAACCTTAGGCTTTTTCTATTATTGTACTCCTCGGTTTTCACATCATGTATTTTTCCCTCCTAGAACAGGAGGTGGGTCAAGTGGTAACCTTCCTAGATTATCTGCATCCCTAGGTCAAATACAGCAGTAGGATGACATTGGCCCTGAACGTTAAGGAAGGAGACAGCGGCATCTGTGAACAAGAGCTTCGTCCCGGCGTGGGGTCGGGGAGGACAGTGACAGGCCGTGGAATTTGGCATTATATTGTTACTCAGCTTTACAAAGGCCAGTGGACCTCAGCCTGTAGCAGCTGGGCTAAACTAAGCCTACTTTTTGCCATGGTAACAATGATCATGACAAAATGCTGAATGTAATGGCTTTCTTGATTTTCTTGTGTAATTGCGCGTAGCATCCGAGCTTTACTTTACAGGGATGGAGGAGGAAAGTGCAAAATGTTTTAGAAATCAATGCTGCTTCAGCGTTTCCTGTGTTTTATTCAGCCATTATTCAAATTAGCAGTAATGTGGCAAATTGAATTTTAGATTTTTAGCAATTTTATGATGAGTTTGAAATAGTAAAGAAAGCATCATTTTTGATAGTATAGGGAAAGCAATGACAAGAAAATCAAATTGCATAAGTTTAGGTTGCTAAAGGATTAAAAGAAAAACTGATGGAGTAAATCAGCGCACATTGAGTCATTTTTCCCAGTGGTACTGGACAGGTCTTTTCTGAAAAACAGTTATAAGTTAAATCCCAGGTAGTAAAGCTTACTTAAAAGTTCCAAAGACACGTCTTCATTCTGATAAAAGTCAGCTGTTTATTGAGTGCTTGCTGTGTGCCTTGCACTCATCATTTACAGCCATGTTAAATAATCTAATTGTCTGTGTGATAGACTTACAGATTATTAGGGCTGGGGATTTAGCTCAGTGGCACTGTTCCTGCCTTGTAAGCGCAAGGTCCTGAGTTTGATCCCCAGTATTACAAAAAAAGAAAAAAAGAAGTGTTACAGATTATTGTCGTGGCTGGAGGAGGTCTGAGTGATGGATAATTTAATAGTTTCCTTTAGTAGGATTTTAACATTATTTTATTGCATTCTTTTTCTACCCTAATGATATTTTACTTAGACTATTATTGACTTACATTCCCTGAGTATGTTTTTTGAATATACCAGCCAAGTAGATAAAAATTAATGTAGGGCATATTGGGTGGTAACATCAGCCTTGATTTAAAGTGGCCCCAATTATTCAGGAAGGAAATACTCTACACAGAAGTCACTGGCATTATCAGATGTCTGCAGAGAAGCCAGACTGGAACATGCAAGCATTTATTTGATATACAATTGGTTTTATAATAAGGACATGGATTTAGCAGTGGTGGGGCATTTTGACCAAAGGGGACATTAGCTCACTTATGAAAGTATGGGATCCCAACTGTTTTCACATTTTGCTCCAACAGAACTTGTGGCAATTGATGAGGTTCTTCAGAGTTGAAAGATTTCTCTGCAACCTATAGATACACTTTCAAGGAAGCTCCTGGCTGGTATTTGGGATGATTTATTCATGTGATAAGGCTCCAGCTGACACAAAAACTAGTGTTATCTAATTGGAACAGATTTTCAGATTAAAAATTAGATCTTACTATAAGATGGTTCCATTAATATCAGTAGAACAATGCTTCGGTATAAACCACTTTCCCACACAAATAACTGCAGAGATGCCCTCTGCTCTAAGAAATATCTTCCATAGCAAATTAATAGTCTCATTCAGTACTTCTGCAGCTTTGGCAGAGGGAGTCCTTTCTTCTCAAGGCATTAAAGCATTTTCTTGCTCCTATGATGTTGTTTTCCCTTGAGCTTCCTCCTGCACTGCCAGCGGTATGCTCAGTCTCCTTGGCCGGCTCCTGCACTTTTCCCAGTGTGGAGGCTGCAGCACTCTGTGCCCATCCACCCTCCCCACTTTTTAATACACTCATTCCCTGGCCGGTCCCTTGGGCTTTCCTTAGTTCCTGGAGTTTTGTATACCACCTCTGGGTCCATATCTCCTAATTTTTACTCCCAGCATTGTGTTTCCCCTGAATGATTTGTGCACTTAGGACAGTACTCCTTTTGGGTACCAAATAGGTAACTCAGATTTAACATGTCCAAAACTAAACTCTTGCGTTTTCTTTCCAAACTTGTTGTCGTTCCCCACTCCCTGTCCCAGTCCATCTACAATGCTACAGTTTACTCATTTACTCAATTCAATAACCCGTTTCACTCATCAGTGAGTTCATTCAGCTTATCTGTCCTCATGTCTTGAATAGTGTCATTTTTGCCCCTTCACTTGCTTTTGCCTCTGCCTATTATTTTCTCTTTCTTGATCAATTGCTGTGGCTTTTGGAATGATCTTCTTAGGTCTACTCTCGCAGTCCTAAAGCAGTTTTTCATACCCCAGTCTTGGAAAACCATATTATGTCACTTTCCTGCTCAAAACTCTTCAGTGGCTTCCCGTCACATTTAAAAATAAAATCTAAAATGCTGTACTGTGATATTCAGGGCCCTCTGCGTGATCTGCTCCCTTCTAGCTTATTTATTCTCTCCACCGATGCTCTCCCCTCACCTAAGATTCTCTCTCTTTTACTTCTTGTGCCATGTTGGCTTTCCTGATGTTCTTGAACTGTTTCTTATTTCTGCTTCAAGACCCTTACTCTGCCTAATCCTTGCCTGGAGTTTTCTTTACCTAGATCTCCAGGTAACTTTCTTCTTAATGACATTCAGATCTCTCTTTGAATTTCCATTCCTCAGAGAGCCATTCCCGCCCACCCAAGCTAAGCTGAAAAACTGCCCTAGAACTACTGATCAGAATATGAAGATCACAACTGCACATTCAGCACCTCCCTGGGATACTCAGGGCACGTTCGGGCACACTGTCATCAGTGGCACCTGTTTAAAACCCATGTGCACTTCGTAGATGAACCTCCCAAAGTCTGCACTTAGGGGCTGGAAAGTGAGGCAAAGTTTTGTTTGAGTTTGATATTTTAATAATCCTTGAACTAATGGAAGGAATACTGGCTGTTAATCCAGGACATGCCACTTTCTGGTCCCATGACTGGAAGAAATTTGCTTAGCCTCCCTAAGCCTTTGTTTTCTCTTCAGTGAAATCAGCTTAGTAATACCGCATTTGCCCTACTAGTTTGTTTTTTGTTTGTTTGGGTTTTTTGGCACTGGGTATAGAACTCAGGTCCTTGTGCTTGTGAGGTAGGCGGCAGAACCACTAAGATAAATCCCTGGCCCTTGCCCTACTATTGTAAAGATCAGTTACTCAGTATGTGCAAAGGACTTTCTATTGCCTGGCAATCTATAAGTATTAATTCTGCTCTGTCCTTTTTTCCTGGAGAGCACTGTCTGATAAAATTTAGAAGTTTTATGATTCGACTTTGTGGGGTGGGTACCAGGGTATAATTAGACATTTTCTTTTTCTTTGTACCAGGGATCGAACTCAGGACCTTACACTTTGTGAGGCAGGCAGCTGATTAGACATTTTTAATGGCCTTCTTTGGTAGATAAACTGCTCAGCTAACTTGAGCACTCCATATGGGTGATATTTCTTTGGGAAACTTTTCTGTGTTCCAAGTTTGGGTCTGATGCTCCTTTTGTGTTGTTTTCATGATTTCACCCTCCTCTAGTTAATAATGAGTTTCGTACTATTTGTTTTATCTATTTTTAAATGCCTAGAGGTTGGCAGAATGTCTGTAGACAATCAGTGTGTATTTATTAAATGAATGACTGTATGAATAAATTTATCCATGCTTAGCAGCAATAATCTTTTGAATCTGTTGTTAAGGATCATATGAGGTGTAATGACAATAAGCCTTAATAGAGCCATTTTCTTTCCTGTGAGAATCCCACTATAAGAACACAGAAAAATGGCTTATTTTTCTAAAAACAACTTTCATGGACTTTTCAGATATATAGGGGTTTTGTACTTTTTGTTGTTGTTGTTGTTGTTTTTTAATGGTTCTGGGTTTTGAACCCAAAATCACTCTATCACTATATCTCAACTCTTTTTCATTTTGAGACAAAGTTTTACTAAGGTGCCCAGTTGGAATATGAACTTGCAATTCTCCTGCCTCAGCCTCCCTTAATGCTAGCATTACATGTATCTGCTACTTCTGCTATCTAGCTATATACACTTTTGTAGATTGCTTTCACAATGGATAAGTCTCTTTACTTAAGGAATTTGAAGATAGAAAATAAAGGGCAACCACGTATATTTTTAGATGAATAATTATATTCTTATTTCGATCGTTTGCTTCCCCCAAACTTCTAACTTCTCTTGTTTGAAATTTGTCATGGGTTGCCAAGCCTAAGTA